CCACTTCTTACCTCCGAGACTGTGTTAGGATCTATATGACCTTATTATTTTTATTGTGAGTATTAGGCTTATCATTATTGCTGATCACTGTTGTTGTGCTATGATATGGTAATAGTTACCATTATATAATCAGAGGGGCATAGGAAAGTGTATTAAAGTGTCACTCCACAATGCAATAGCAAGATATATAAATATGTATAGTATTTCTATGTTACATTAATCAGTGTCTAGCACACCTTCCTAAGGAAAGGATATGCACCAGAAGACATTGCAATTACTAAATTATATTTAGACAGACTTAAAGAAGTTCCAGATCTATACATGTGCTCTTATTATTTCAGTTATTTTGCCTTTAATGTAAATAAACATGCGCACACAATATACTTGCTGTTGTGAATTTATTTGGATGTTAAGTAGATTGTGCGAGCTGTCTCGTGGTTTATACACATGCTGCTGCTGATTGGGCTGACGTGTGACACCCACCAAACAAGAGAAAACGCATCTCAAACCACGTTACACACCGTTTCCAGGAAACGTGTCGTTCAAACCGGAAACCGTAGCAAAACGGTGCACACCGGTTTGAGCTTGAACTTGCCCCAGATGTCCTTGGCGATTCACCAATGAATTCAATAGCCACAGGAATCTGACTTTCATTGTGAATGAAGAGTGTAGAACTGAGTTCGTTTTTAATTCTTTATCAAACAAAAGTGATAGCTTTGACTGCAAGAAACTGAGTCAGGACATCCCCACATAGGCGAATTCCTCTAGAAATGTTAAGTCTAGGGGAAGAGCCGTTTAACATCTTAAAAGAACATCTTTATAGAGAGTGCTTTAGAAATCTAGGAATAATATAAAGCCATGATCATGAATCACTTCTGAATAGTAAAAAAATATGCAAAACTAATCTTATATGACCATTTTTTATGAATCTTGATTGTGATTCATCAGTTACAGTACTGTTGTCCGTCTATGAAAGGGTATATATTAGGAGTTTTCCTAATATTAACAGTGGGTTTCGACCTGTGTTGAAGGGACCTGAGAAAACACATTGCTCATATTTGTGGTTGATTACTAGTTGATTAAACCGGTTATCAGAGATGTGTAATCCATCCCTGACATTATCCACCATAAACTGTCCACTGAAAGTACCTTTGATACTCACAATATATTTTACTGAGATATGATTGAGTTACTCAGAAACCAGTCTAACCATCAGGAGATCCACTGGATTCTCATTTTCTCCATTCTCGCCATCATCCAGCTCGGCCTAACTGTGTCAAACTACAATTAACATACCATTACTGTCCAATTTGTGGAATGGATAGTGCTACACTCTTCAAATAATAAAAGTTCGTTATTGGCAGCGATGCTTCCATTCCACAGAAGGTTCTTTGTAGTGGATTAAGATTTTAAAAAATGTTCTTCACGCTAAGAATAAATGGTTCTTTTAAGAACTGTTCACGGAAAGGTTCTTTAGGGATCCAAAAAGTGTTCTTCTATGGCAGGGGTGGCGAACGTCGGTCCTGGAGAGCCGCAGCCCTGCAGAGTTTTGCTTCAACCCTAATCAAACACGCCTGAACACGCTAATCAAGGTCTGAAGGGTTACTAGGAAGCTACAGGCAGATGAGTTTTAATTAGGGTCGGAGCTGAACTCTGCAGGGCTGCGGCTCTCCAGGACCAACGTTCGCCACCCCTGTTCTGTGGCATTGCAGTCTTGAAAATAAAGGCGCAAGAAGGGGATTTCACAGTGACGCCATACAAGAACAATATTTGGTTCACAAAGAACCTTTCCGTGATCAGTTCTTAAAACCAACATTGTAATAATCTGAAGAACCCTTTTCCACTATTAAATACCTTTTGCCTAGAATGTCCTCAAAGTTTGCATAGTGTGTGTGCTTAGGTCTTAATTTTATAATTGCTAAATCCATCTCAGATCCTGGAAAAGTGTTTGTTCATCTTTGTTCTGAATCTCAATGAGATGGTACCAAAGAAAGACCTTCCAGTTCAAAATATCTTACATTACAGACTACAGCAGCAGCATCTACTGTATGTACAGATCTAAACCCTGCGGAGTGCTACAATGCACTGTCCTTTGGGTTAAATGTTAAATTGGCCCTGATTATGTGGTCATTACAAATCCCGAGCTGTATCACTCACTGGTGACTGGCCTTTCTGCCAAGTGTCACGTGTTGTCTTGTGAAATGATTAAATGTAATAAATACAGATGGCAGAAAACGGTTGGTGATTATCTTGCAGTTGCTGGGTGTGACGGGCTGTTTCAATAGTTCATATAAGCCATGATGAAATCTGAATAATATAATTAGGTGATGTCTGTGAGAACATTATGTAGTTCAAACTTACAAAAGTTCTCTCATTCATTCTTATACTACTGAATATAATAATGAAAATACCCGTCTTTCCGTTTCCACAAGGGCGTCAATATTTTATTGAATAAAAATTGAATTCATGCAATATTTATTATATTTAATCTTTCCCTTATAATTTGTCCAATACAATCACCTAAGGACATCTATCATACTCCTATAATATCACAAATAGTCAAGAAATCAATTGCATGCATCAGATAAAAAATTTATAATAAATGTTTTTAAAAATCGTCCTTTTTTTTCTTTCCTGCTCTTGTTTTCTAATCTAGCTTTCCAATAAACCTGGTATTTTATGCTATAAAATCTTATAGCGAATGTCAAACACTAAGGACTGTTTCCCAACAACACAGAACTACTGCAGCAAACCTCAATATTCACCTTGAAGAACTCATTTTGTGTAAAAATGTTTCGTCAGTCTAATCAAAAAAATGAGTAAACGTGGAGATCACGGTTCATTTATCCCAATGGAAACGGAAGGCCAAGTCAAAGAAGCATTTTGGATCGTGTATTACAGTAGAATGTCCTTTAAAACTGACACCATGATATGGCATCAATGCAGAAAACTGACATACTGTATTTAGTATACACCACAGAATAAGTGCGAGTGGTATGACAGTACACCGAGTCTCCAGGAGCAGGACTGCGAAACACACACATCACAGTAACACACCAGTGGGAAATAACCAGAAGTGTTTATTGGAATTACAATAGTTTTTATTGGCAAAGATAACCACAGTGGTAGCTGAGATCGTCAAACTATACTGTACATCACTCTAAAAGTACCATTTAGTGATTTGGTTTTGAAATACGAAAAAGGTGCCAGAATAATTTCATGCAGCAACACAATCAATCAATAAATCTACAAAAGAACAAGCTCCTCTCATGACACTCACACACAAATGATAGAAGCAAAAACAACAAGAGTTGCTGAAGTCCTGAAGATCCTGTTTGTAACAACAGCGCTACATCTGCAAAGAACTAGAACCGTTAATAGTTTAGCAGTGTGGGGAAGACCCTATACTGCGTTCAGTGCATTGTACAATTTCAGATGATGGTTCGTTAGGGTTGGAATTTATTTTGTCTGCGGACTTAAATGATACAAGAACTAATCTTGAATTACAAGGTACAAAGGTCTTAATGCCACACCTCTGTGCTGAAACTCGGGCACAACATCGACATAAGAGCCGCAGCATTTAGCATGAATTATACCAATACAAATATTTTCAGTAATAAACAAAACAAAACAAAAAAAATTTAGATTGCTTTCATCAGCTATCATAAATAAATAGTAGGTGGCGGTTGCAAAATAGCTACAGCTCCGTCACATACTGTACAATGTTTCTCAAACACGCCAGCAACATAATGAATACGCAAACCTCTTTCAGTAACACTTTACTTGAAGGGGCGTGCATAAGACTGACATGAGGTTTTATGCACGTTTATGACAACTATCATTAAGTGTCACTCGCTCAGTTGTGTCCTTTTTAATGCAAATATGACATGATTTGACCTAACCCTACCCCTAACCGTAGCCCATAACAAAGACATCTCAAACAATGTCATCTGTGCATTAAAAATGACATAACTGAGCGAATGACACTTAATGACAGCTGTCATAAACATGCATAAAAACCTTCATATTCATGACATGTGTCGTGTCAGTCTTATGCACACCCCTTCAAGTAAAGTGTAACCCCTCTTTTTCAGAGGATTATTAAAGTTTTAGGACGGTTTAAAGAAATCATAAAAAAAAAAAAAGTTCTCATGTTAGCAATAAATACAAAAGGACACCTTAAAAGTTGCTATTAAGGACATCGCGGGAATCTAACACTTTTTTTCCAATGCCTTCTGCTCTAACGCTTTCTGTGCTTCGGCGGGTTTGAGAACGTACTCTCTGTACATAGAATAGACCACTCCTGGGGACAAAAAGACAAAATATCACATTAAACCATTTCTCTGCAGTTATGGGGATGCATGTGTAAATCTTTAGGAAGGCCTCGTACCTAAAGTCATGGCTCCCACCACGAAGCCCTGCGCAGCCACACGCATGTGAATCAGGTGGACTGACATCTTCGTCTCTCCTCTGCTCTTCAGTTTGAACAGTCGGTACGCCACGATGCCAAAGAACCCAGCCAACCCTTCAGAGACGTCACAGTATGCACGAAACCGTTAGGGTGATGTTATTTGCGTACACACGGCTGAGGTCATCGTAAGTGATAATGTTTTGTGCATTGATATAAAGCCATGTGACTTGAACAAACTGAACAAGGTATAATGCTTACCTGAGAACAAGCTCCTCTCATGACACTCACACACAAATGATAGAAGCAAAAACAACAAGAGTTGCTGAAGTCCTGAAGATCCTGTTTGTAACAACAGCGCTACATCTGCAAAGAACTAGAACCGTTAATAGTTTAGCAGTGTGGGGAAGACCCTATACTGCGTTCAGTGCATTGTACAATTTCAGATGATGGTTCGTTAGGGTTGGAATTTATTTTGTCTGCGGACTTAAATGATACAAGAACTAATCTTGAATTACAAGGTACAAAGGTCTTAATGCCACACCTCTGTGCTGAAACTCGGGCACAACATCGACATAAGAGCCGCAGCATTTAGCATGAATTATACCAATACAAATATTTTCAGTAATAAACAAAACAAAACAAAAAAAATGTAGATTGCTTTCATCAGCTATCATAAATAAATAGTAGGTGGCAGTTGCAAAATAGCTACAGCTCCGTCACATACTGTACAATGTTTCTCAAACACGCCAGCAACATAATGAATACGCAAACCTCTTTCAGTAACACTTTACTTGAAGGGGCGTGCATAAGACTGACATGAGGTTTTATGCACGTTTATGACAACTATCATTAAGTGTCACTCGCTCAGTTGTGTCCTTTTTAATGCAAATATGACATGATTTGACCTAACCCTACCCCTAACCGTAGCCCATAACAAAGACATCTCAAACAATGTCATCTGTGCATTAAAAATGACATAACTGAGCGAATGACACTTAATGACAGCTGTCATAAACATGCATAAAAACCTTCATATTCATGACAGCGTGACGCTTACGTGCCATCAAGCATGTGCTTTCAGTTCAGTTCAGCACACACTGTACTGTACTCTTTATCTCCACAGACAGGAATTGCCCTATTTATATACGCCTCAGTGTTGTTTTACGTTTATATTAGGTTGTGCAGTATTATTTTATATGTACGTTTTGAACCATTGCCACTGTAATAGTCTATGAGGTATTTCCCTGATGAACAAATGACAAATCAATGTATATTTTCTGCATTGTTGCTAGAGTTATTATACTGAAGTATACAGATAATCAGTGGTTGTACTGCTGCATCATTACTGTGTTTAATTGAGACAATGAGAAATGAATCATTAACTCCAGGAACACAGTCTTGCACTGAAAGTCACAATACAGTATTGTCTGAACTCTGGAAACTTTGACTTTGGCATGATTCAGAATATATGAAGTCTACTTAGGACAATGTCACTGTTGAAACTATTCTAGTATAACTGAGGTTGAATATACATCATAAGGTCGGTGTCTTTATGCATGCGTGTTGTCTGAACTCAAATATGAGCAGATATTCGGTGTTATTAACAACATGAGCATACTGTATGTTCAGCATCTAAACTGTAATACTGAAATAAGTGGCTAGATGACTTTTAGATAAAAGCTGAGTCACTGTGAGTCTAATAAAATCAGCACTGCGTTATAATAGCCTTCATAAAGTGTAAAGTGACAATGAATGTAGTATATATTACTGTAAATTACATACAGGTCTAGGCCTTTCATGTTACTTAAAGGGGTCATATGATGCGATTTCAAGTTTTCCTTTCTCTTTGGAGTGTTACAAGCTCTTGGTGCATAAAGAAGATCTGTAAAGTTGCAAAGACTAAAGTCTCAAATCCAAAGAGATATTCTTTATAAAAGTTAAGACTCAGCCACGCCCTCCTAAAACGCCTCGTTCTAACACGCCCCCGCATGTCTACATCACTATGTGGGAATATTAGCATAATGCTAAGAAGGCAAAGAAAGAAGACGTGGTTTCAGGAACAGCAGTTAGTGTTGAAGCAGCATGTCAGGGAGACGCTGTGTGTTTCAGTGCGAAAGCAAAAGCACTTTATTTGGCCTTCCGGAAGTAGATGCAATTAGGAATCATTGGTTAAGTATTTATTTACAACAGAGCAGCACAACCCAGATGTTTTCGAATTTGTGCAATGCATTTTATGGACGACAGTTTTTTTAACCTAGAAGAGTACAAGGCTGGCTGTGCACAAAGGCTATTTCTAAAAAAAAAAAAAAAAGGGGGACAATTCCGACTTTGCTGTGACAATCTGGCGCTTCTGAATCAGCGACTGTAAGTATGTTTTGTTATTAGTTTAAGTATTTGCTATTGACTGTTCAAATGCGGAGTTTTTATTTATTAATTTACTGTCTTGATATTTATTTTGACAGCTGATGCTCGCGATTATGGTAAGGGGCGTTGCATTTCCGATGAGCGCTTGTGGTGTTCGGCCAATCACAATGCACTGGGTCAGCTGGCCAATCAGAGCAGACTGCGCTTGTCGGAAGGAGGGACTTTGTAGAAAACGAAGTGTTTGAGAGAGGCAGGGCATAGAGGACCTACAATAATGTACAGTATTTGAAAAATAATGTGTTTTTTGAACATTAAAGCATGTCAACATATTCTGTTACACCAAATACACAAAATAATGATCTTTAAAATAGCATCATATGACGCTTTAACATATCTTGTACCTATATGTTGACAACATACCTATTAGTAAGGATGATTCAGACAAACTAAAGGTGCAAAAACATGATAATCTCTCTATACATAATTAAAATAATTGCATGCAATTTTATGGATGCACACAAATTAAATTGATTCTTAATGGTTTCATGGTCTTCTTTGCTGGCTTTGTAATCCTGTGCGGTTTCATTTTGTTATTCATAATGTTGTTATTCATGTCTGTTGTCATTATCTTCTTCATGTCACGTTCATATTTGAACTTTTGCTGTGTTTATCTGCTCAAAAAGCAAGCCACTTTGTGCTCATGACACTGAAGCGGAGATCTTGATTGTTGGGATCTCTAAGATTTCACATTGTTTTTTAATAGTTTTTAATTATCTGACTTGTCATTGTTGTTTACTGGTTTCCTTTTTGATGCTATTGTTAAATTGCACATGGACTCTGATTGTTGAATGTACAGTATCAGCAATGACAGATGTATGCCCACTTTGTCATGTGGCTGTGCATTCGTTAGAAATTTGTCCAATAATAATTAGCTTGGCTTTCAATCCCACTTTTTTATTTTCTGGTGACTTGCAGGATAGCTGCAACCGATGTAATTGAATGGGTTTTCTGTATTTTTTTTGTGGTTTTAATAAGTGTTGTGGACATAATTTACTTTGACAAAAAATTATACGGACCTGTCACACCTGCAAATTACGCCTATGGAAAATGTGTTAAAGAGTAATGGGGAAATTTAAAATGTGGTGTCATACAAAAATAATTTAGACTATTGTAGTAATAAGTAACAGAGAGAATGGTAGTTAATAATTTTATAGTTTTTATTGTTGAAATTGCTTCATATAAACAATCAGATCAAATATTCATTCATTAAAAGCAAATCTGACAAAAAAAATCAGATTTTCACTTTGAAATGAAATTCATGTATGTATGAATGTATTCATGTTGATACTAAGTCAGTAGATGTTTCAAATAAAAAAGTACTTGTTTCCTAATCTAGCTTTCTAAACTATGGATAATGTTGGTGATTAATTGCTTGTTACATTTCTTATGATGTCTGCTAAATGAATAAATGCAATGTAAAATGTCAATAAAACATGCAAAATAAAATATTATAAAACAATTTCCTATACCGGATAAACCAAATAAGCACGAATGAAAACACTGTTAAATGTCATGATAAATCTAAGATTCCCCATGTGTAAATAATCAATTATCCAAGACATTAATAATCTAAAAGACATTTTAATCACCCAAGACCATTGATCAGCGTTAGTAAAAGTAGTTCATCTCCATTCTGTATTCCAAACCCATACTTATATCCTCATGAATAGAAAATCATTTTTAAATGTAAATTGTACATACTAAGCATAGTAATTACAATTAACTGTATTATTAAGATGAGATGTAGCTGTAAGACACCGAAGAGGTGTAGTCAACACTGCCTCTGCGTGATCCACTTCTTGAGCCGGTACGAGACCCCGCTCTGGATCCTGTACGAGAGTTTGATCCCGAGGACACGTTGTAGGGGCTGCTTATACCTTTGGTAGACATCGAAGTAGCCTGGAGCATCTTCATGCCATTGTTCTCCTCCACCATGCAGTTATCCATGGCCTCTTTGTATGAGATTTTAAGTTTGGTTTTAGGACAGGTAAGGTTCTTAATGTAGTTCCTCGTATCCTGCAGCTTCTGTGCCCCTTTGCCATCAAGCCATCCTCTTCGGATGGCCTCCTCAATGCTCACCCGGTGGCCAGTTTCTGGCTCTACAAGTCCACCCGTCAGGTACTGGAACTCCAGAAACCTCTGCCCTGCCTCGTAAGGCAACCATTTCTCCTTTATGGCCTCGGCAGCAGAAAGTTTCCTCTTGGTCTTCACATCCTCAAAACCGGCATAAGCCTTCTGTGCTGGTTTTAGCTTGATGGACATGTCTTCATCGATAAGGCTTTGCTGTACAGCATCTTTCAGAGCGAGTCTCTGGCCAGTAGCAGGATTGACAACCCCTCCTGTGCAAACCTGGGCCTCCAAGAGCCGCTGAGCGGTGATGTTGTCCACTATTCCACGCCGCTGCGCCGCAGGGATGGTTATCTTCTCAAGGGTCTCAGTATCAAAAATGGCTCCCACGGGGCTCTGGTCATCAAAAATATCAGATGGAGGGGAGAACGTAATGGATACGCTAGAAAAACGTTTGCGGACAGTTGGAGATGATGGCGCCATCTGTGTTGGGTTACTGCAAGAAGCAACATCCTCAGGACTGCTGGTGCAGATGGAAAGCTCAGAATTACTGCTTTTACTTGTGATCAGACCTGCAAACTCGTGGATTGTCAGAGTCCCGGCACGGTACTTGTCCAGGGTTTGCCTATCAATAACACCCCTATCTATGGACTCTTGAATGTCATACTGGGTTCCAGTTTTGCGATCGACAATAAGTAAACGATTGCTGCCGTCAGATGTTTCGATAGTGATCTCCTCCCACTCACACTCTTGTTCCGAAAGCTCCAGGAACGTGTCATAATCAATTAACTCTCGATGATACGCTTCTCGTACGGTCATCTCTTTGCCGGTGTCAGGGTCTACAATCACCACTCTCCTCTTGCGCAGTGTGTTCTTTTGAGATGTCGTGTGCTTTGGCGTCTTCTTGTCCTTCAAAGGCAAAAGGATAAGCCCAGTCTTGGGATCTTTGATGCACCTCTTTTTCAACTGCAGATATGTGAGGTTTTCATGGGTGTTAGGATCAAAGAAACCTTTGGTGTCATCACCCTCATAAGTCAAAATATCATTCATTTCACGGTCGAAGTAACCTTTCCTGTAAGCCACTTCCACATCAATTCGATGACTCCCTTTAGGATCAATGATGCCCCCACTGGCTATCTGAGCTTCCAGCAGTCTAATCCCATGACCCTTCTCTATGATCTCTTTCTCAATAGCTTGAAAGAGTGAGATGATCTTTCCTGTTGCAGGATCTTTGTATCCTGTCACAGCCTTCTCAGCAGACAGTAGTTTGTCTTTAAACTCCTTTCCCACAAGGGCTCTCCTCCATGCTTCTTCCACTGTCATGCAGACATTGTTGACTGGATCGATTATGAAACCAGAGGAAGCCTGGGCTTCCAGGAGCTCCAGGGTGGTTCCCCGCCGAAGTAGACCTTCTTTCATGGCCTGGTAAAATGGCAGGACCCTACCATTGGCCTCATCGTAGATACCAGCGATGCAATCAGAGCCGCCTAGGTACGATCTGAGTCTGTCCTCAATTTCTTTGCCTGTTAGTTGTCCTCGGTTTACTTTATCCAAATCTGTCTGATCAAGCAAGTTGGAGTCTACAAGCTCTGTGAGTGAGACCTCACCACGGAGACCTTTCACTGTCAGTTTCTGACTGCTACTCTCAGAGACAGACTGACTGGTTTGTGTACACCGACAAGATAAAACTGGACGCTGTTGCAACATCCTCAATTCCCTTTCCAAAGACTCCTTCTTCATAGTGATCTCTGAGATCTCCTTGTCTGAGCTCTGAAGACGACTCTTGTAGCGTTCTTCCAGACTCCTCAGCTCAGCAGTCAATCTTTGGATCTCACTCTGCAAAGAGGTCCTGTCTCTCTGTACTTTGTCTTTATCTGCCTCACTCTGTCTGATCTGCCCCTCCTTTAACTCATATTGGCTTTTCCAGTACTTGAAATCCTTGGTAATTTTATCAATTTCGTCCTGGAGACGTTGCTTCTGTTTGATCTCAGATTCCAAGGAAAGCTTGATGCGCCGGAGCTCATCTTCAGAGCGCTGTTGCTTGTCTTTGTCTTGTTGCAACAGCTTCATTTTGACTAGAAGACTGTCTCTCTCTTGCACAATATTTTTGTAGGTAGCATCAGATCGCTGGATCATCATGGATGTCTGTAAACATAAAAGAGAAATGATAATTTATTGATAAACTATTTCAGATTATAATTCATTTAGAGGATTTAACAAATGAAAGAATTATAACACCAACACCATATTGATTTGAACGTGGTTAGAATAAAACAAAAATTATTTGTTTTACCAAAGCAAGTATTAAAAAAGCTTTTTGTGGGAAGAGTGTAACCATGCAGTGTTATGCAGAAAGTGTGCTTTCAAAGGTAAAGCATTATGCAGCAGTGTTATCCAGCAAAGCCATTTTGATATAACTTAAATTGGTGATGTATTTTTGATTCAACTGATGTCGCTCAGAAAAAAATACCTCCGTGAACTGCTTTTGGATTTGGGCAATTTCCACCCTTAAATTTTCTCTCTCTTTAGTCAGATCATTGATTAGTTCCTGCAGTTCCAGTGCTCTGTTATTGCTGGTTTGTAACTGGAATTGAATGGCAGACAATCGGGAAGCACTTTCACTCTCGATGGTGCTCAGGCTTCTCTTCACGTCATCTCGCTCTAGTCGCACAGTCCTCAGTTCCTCCTCTAGCCGCAGATGCTCTTTGGTGAGATTCTGGGTGAGGCTCTGCAACTTCTCGATCTCACTGGTGCTCTCATTTAGCAATCGACTCTTGTCTTCTAGAGTCTTGTAGAGGGAATCGTTGCGTTGATTGGCCTCACGGACAAGGCCTTGTTCCCGCAGAAGCTGCTGTTGCAAAGCCTTCAATTCGCCATTCACTCTGTTCAGATTCTCTACTGTGATTTTGTAGTCCTTCTGGCTTCTCTCCAACTCATCTTTCAAACTGCGAAGCTCCTGGTCATGCCTGCGTCCAGAAGCACTTTCCTGCTCTCGATGGACCCGCAGAGTGTTGATGGTAGTGGTGTATTCACGGCAC